GTAACATTATATGTTTCACTTTTCACCGTATTAAACTTGATTTTACAAATTGCGCAAGTAAATGTTATATCAAAATAATTTTCTTTCAATCACAAGAGTTTCTGCGACAAACCCTGGATCAGCAATGTATGGTGATAAATGATCGAGAATGATCTAAAAAATGTTTAATCACAAGAATCTGTTTAGAACACAACGCGAAATCATATGAAGATAAGCTACTTACATGATAACTGATTAATAAAAAATACAGTACGAATGATGATAACTGAAATGCTGCGAGGTTACGATAGAAACGGAAATTTCGTCGTTAACAAAATATGACAAGAGAAATGAGTTATTTTAGTAGACTATTGTTGTTCAACGTTTCAGCTGCCTCTAGTTTCTGTCGATGATGCCTCTTCACCTCTTTGCATTTTTAACCACTCCACAAATTCGTCGAGCATCACTGGCCCTGTAGAAAAGCTTATGCAATAAATGTAGACAATCAAACGGGTATAAGCATTAATAATGTTGCGCAATTACACACATGCTCCATCTAAATCATAATTGGATAAATCGTTATTGATTGTACGAGAAAATTCTAAAATGTTGCACCACTGATCTTTATTAATCACTTTGTACTTCGATTGATCTAGGAACTGAGCAAATTGGGTGAACAGTGGCCAATGTTTCCCCAAGAGTAATTGTAACATAACTCGTGCTGTTTCCATATCCATACTTCTTTGATCTTTGTCCTGAAATATAATAAGCGTTTATACATGTTTACGTGTTTTTAGTAAACGTACAAAACGTGATACTCACTCTAGCAAAATCATAAGCATATCTGTAAATTCCCTTAAATGTATGTGGATCATTTAACTGATTCCTTAGGTACTCAAGTTTTTGTTGTATTTTACTAATAGAGTCACACTGTAATTCCGAAAGGCCTTTCAACCATTCGCTTAGCGTGAAGAAACCCATTTGCCTCGCGTTCATTTTATACGCGAGAACAAGCATCACCACGTTCTCAGGTTCTACACCGATATCCTCACAAAATTTTTCCATTCCCTCAGGGCCAAGGTTGTCTGAATCATCGGGTGTCGTGTATTCCCTAAACCATGTGATACAACGCTTTTGGGAAAACGTTGTAGCACTTGAAACATCTTCTGTTTTTCCATAACGTCTTCCACTAAACAAGAGAAACATAATGTTTATTCCATTTAATGTAGAAGAATTCTATGAATTAAAATTGATAAAAAATCAATAAAGTTTTACAGAATAACAAGCTTTTTAATAAATTGAAAATAAAGTAATATAATTTACCTAGAGGTATGTCTAAGCCTTTTTGATGGATGCCTCGATATACCCTCTTCATGGGCACTAGGTGACATTTCAATAGATGTATGATGATTTGTGCTAGAGGGTGCTCTACGTTTGCTGCGTGGCATCCCTCCTTTAACTAAAAACGTAATTTAATATACATGTATGTATACAATCATAGCATACTCTGTTACTACAATTTATATACATATATTGTACTTTCTAAGTAATTAGCGTACAAAATTAATTGTACATGTATTACTAAATAATGAATATATTAAATCTATACTTTAAGTATATTCTAATTCATTTGTACAATGAACTCATTGACATAAATCATTGACAGTTGTTAAATATGATTAAATTTCCTATGTACCCAAAATTATGGCATTCAGATAATCAGAACAAAAATTCAAGGTGACAGAATAATCATAGTAATAGATATAATCAACAATCAGCATACAAAAGCTATTTATATATTTATTAAGAAACATGCAAGGATAATGAAGAACTTACTTACCACGCAGCAATGAGGTGTAAGTAATATAAAAGATTAGTAAAATTCAAAGACTCCGTGATATAACTGACGTATATTGTTTAAAATGACATCCTTTCGTCTCAAGGAGCTGAGTTCGAGGTTAGGCTCGTTAATAAATTGCAGTATCAAATAATTTTCAATGTCTCTTGCTTTCGTTTCAACCACTTTGTACATGTGATGTTGCAAGCAAATACCTAAGAATTGACGCAAATTTCTGCGATGAAACGATCCTGGATTATATTTTCAACACGAAAATAGTAGGATCAAGTTTGCATGTATCACAGCTGATGTACGCGAATTATATTTTTTGGCAAGATCAATTGCATTGTGACATCAGATTTTGAAGGAATGGATCAATGACTAGAATATTATTATGAAGAAATACATAAAATTACAATGTGAACTGAAGAGACCCTCCCTACCTTGTTCAACGAACCACTAGAACAATTGTACCAGAAATGTATTTCTCACAGTCCAGCATAAACATTAATATAAAACTTGCTTT